TTATTTGGGACTTTAAAAAACAAATCAAGACCTGGTTAAACTTGAATCTAAAATTTTTACAATAATTTAAAGTTAAGTAAATCAAAATATTTTTTTTTTTAAAAATTGAGGCCCTCAAAATATGGGGCCCTAGGGGACGGCTTCGATTGTCTAGCCATAGGGTCGGCCTTGCAGCCAGCAATGCCACTGACACATATAACACCGTTAGCGATGCCAGCAACTAGCCATCGAACACTACCAACGACACCATCAAGCACCGCCGCCAACTCTTTGTCTCTTATTCTCTCAGTCTCTCTAACTTTTCCTATGTGTCTAGTGAATGGCCAACAACACCCATACACCACCCCCACAGCCCCGACCCTTCTCTCTCTCTCTCTCACTTTCTCTCACAACCCTAACCTGAGTACTCGGGAATTAAATAAAATTATGAGTGATTGCTTTTGGCTTCAATGATTAATTGATTTTTGCCCCTTCTTAACATTGTGATTGAATCTCTTTGGTTTTATGATTGATTTGCTACATGAAAGGTACAAGGTTGAAAGAATAAGTATAGAATTAGAAAGAGTAACATGGATGCTAGTAGTTCTAACAACCTAAAATTCTTGAACAGAGCTCACATAAATTATCTACCATTGAAACATGGAAGAATAGCAACAAAGTAACTATAAAGGTTGAGTTAAATCTTCTTTTATTTTCTAGCAAGGTATAATGAAATAGAAAAGACCTTACATAGTGGAGATGATTTTATTTTGACACTATCTATGCATGATGGGTAAGAGGAGAAATTGGAAAAGAAGGCAAAATTTGGGGAGATGCTGGAAAACAATGGTGCTGTCATCCACAAGTAAACAGAAGAAAAAGAAGTACTTCATTATTTGCAACACTATTTCCATTCAATTAAATAAGTTTCTTAGGTCTATCTATGTAATACAAAAATTAAGTAATTTTTTTTTCTGCAAGTTAAAACTTTCAAAGGCAGGTGGTTATTGGTTTCAAGTTTCAACTATGTTTCAAGGAGAGAAAAAAGAAGTCATCTTTTACGAGATATAGACAAAGAGAGATTTTGTTTCACAAAAGAAAAGGCTCGCTAGAGAGTGTTTAAAAGAATCATACTATTGTCCATTGATTAGTCACAGATACATATCTATCATTGTTCATTGATTAGCCATAGGCACGTATCTCCACCTTTGTAAAATGTATCAATGAAACAGTTTTAGACTACTTTTTCAGTTTGTTGCTTCGAGTCCATTGGTTTAAACTGGTTGTGAACAATTTTTAATAGCTAAGAAATCCTTATTTGTGCATTATAGCAACGTTGTAATTGTAATATTGGTCTGTGGTGAATGGACTATCTTGCTTACCTTTCACATTTTTGATTTTTCATGAGTAGTAAATAGATGAATTTATGGAAGATCTAATTATTGGTTTTCCATTTTATTTTTTACTTCTTTTTTAGTTTTCCTTTCTTTTTGTTGTCGGGGTCATGGGCAGTAGTTGATTGATAAATGGCGAAAATGAGTGTTGTCATGTTGTAGCGTGTGTTTGATTACAGTTATGGGAACTGATTCACTCTTACAATTTATACCCATGTCGATCGATGATTTTCTTATTTCTTTCTATTCACTGATTATTTTTTGTGTTATTCATCGCCTTTATGTACTATATTATAACACATTGAGCTGGTTATGACTGTATCTGATATAGTTCTGTCAGTATTTCTTTTCTAATAAATGGGCATATCTTTTTCGCGTCCTTTAAATGTTGTTTCGATGTTTGAGGTTTTCATTATGAAATTGATTAGCTAATGTTTTATGATACGAGAAAAGGATTTATGATTGTCGAGTGTGTTCGAAGGAATAGCACGAAAGCTTGAGAGGTATGATTGTTAGTTTTCGATATAGCAGGGAAGCTTTACAAATTACTGGGTATTAGATCTCTACTAAGTTATATCCTTTGGTGTTGTTTGATTGTAGTTAGAAATTCCAAATCACTGCAATTTAGTTTCGATTGCCGAATGCTAACCATTGTGAGTTTTGGAAATTTGATAAAACTACAAGTCTGTTTGGTTTGCGTCTCAAAAAAAAGTATTTGAAAATAATTTTTGAGAAGAGTTTTAAGAAAGTGTCTTTTTGATGTTTTATGAGACGAACTATACTAGACAACCCAAATAGTTTTAAGAAATCATTCTCAGATTTTCAATATTGGAGAAAATGACAACCCAATTAGTCAACACTATATTAGAGAACTTTGTGACGTCCAAGTGTTGGATTGTGATATGTTTGCCCCATTTTTTTCTTGCTCAGCAATCCTTTTCTGCTGTTAGTACCGAAGTCAGCCATCGCAGAGATATTGTTGATGTACTAGATTTTTTCTCATTTGAAATATTGTATTTCTCGTAGGTTTTTTTATTGACAATTTTTTTTATAGCGTCTTTAGGTATATGCCTATTTGGATGTGAATTATGGTGATCTTTTCAATGGCTTCCAATTGTTGGAAGAAATGCCCCTAAGGAATGTAGTGTCATGGACAACCCTCATGCCCCAACGAGTTTGCCAACCACGACAACTAGTTAACACTTTCTCTCTTTTCCTCTATCTCTTCTCTTTCCCTTTCCCTCTTTCAATTTCTCTCTCTCTGGAAAAGTGGTTAATATTTCTAGGTTCCTTTTTTGGTTGATATTTAGTGGATTTAGTTGTATAGAAACAATTGGTTGATGTTGTTCTACACACATTGCTCTGATTTTTTTGTTCGGCAGATAGAAGGAGAATTAGATAACCATAGTTTCAACCCATTCTTTTCCATCAAAGCAGGTGGCACAGAGAAGGAGAGCTATAGAACAAAATTGTTAATTAATTATATAAAACCAAGTTGGAGAGTGTTGTTGTTGATTTGTACTCTTTTTCTTTTTCTTCCTTTTTTCCCTCCTAAATTCTATGGATATTGGATACTAAGCGCCCTTTGTAGATATTTGAATTAATTGTGGCTTTTTTCACAGCCAAGAAATAAAATTCTCAACCAAGAAATAAAATCCTCAACCATTATAGTTTGTGGTTCACGACAAAAAAGTTTACAAATGGTGTTTTTGAAATATTGGCATGAAGACTCTCTTTTTTTGCCAAATCATGAAGGATATATTGGATTCTTACAAAGTGAACACATATACCTACAATCCAGAACTCACTAACGAGAATTTAATCTAAGACATATGAGTTGACGCTTTATCCGAGACTAATTCTTTCCATTGGGTTATTCGAGTAGGTTATGACGATATACAGTAATTAGAATTATGAATCTGAACACGAAAGATTGTTCCCTTTTAAGTGTATGGGGGCATTAGCAAATAGAAAAGAATCATGGATTATACATAGTCCATATATTGATTTGTGTAGCATACTTTTGATTTTTTTTTTGGTAAATTTGTCGATAGAATTTATTTCACCATGGCTTGGATTGTGCTGAAGTCCTTTGGGATTTGATCTAGGTCTATTCTTTGGTGTTTGGATTGGATACGTTACAATTTTTTTTTGGGGTGGGATCTAGAAAGTTGATTAATAGATTGAGAGATAGATTGTGAATGTCGTGCGGTTCATGGGTAAACATTAGTATTTGACGTGGGGAGGAAAATTTTGATATAATTTTTTTGTGTTACATTGTGCCTTCAGGCACATGCAATTTCTAATATCTATATATATATATATAATAAAGTAGTTTATAATTCAAATTTAAAAAGATAAACAAAATGACTTTTGTTTTTCGCAGTTCAGATCGTTTTAAATTTTATTTTAAAGTTAATCTAACGACTAATATTAACACCCTAAATTTAATAGAAAAAATAGGTCTCCTAATGGTGTATTTGGAGTGACTTGTTAATAGTACCTTTAGAAATTATTTCTCATAAATACTTTAAAAAAATAGTGTTTGAAACCGTCTCACCACTACCTCTTCCACCACCAACCCCATCGCCACCGCTGCTGCCGCTGCCACCGTCACAGCCCCCACCACCCTCGTCCCCGCCCCCACCATTACCACGGTTGCCGCATCCATCGCCACCACCCCGACCCTCGTCACCATCGCCGCAGCCACCGCCACCACCCTACCGTCACCGTCGTCGCTGCCGTCCCCACCACCGCCCCCGCCATCGCCACCACCACTATCACCACCACCGCTGCCCCCTCCATCATCGCCCCCACCACCGTCACCGCCACCACCGCCGTCCCTGCCACCACCACCATCACCGCTACCATGGTCATTGTCACCCACCATAACCATCACCGTCTCCTACCACTATCAGTGTCGCCCACCACCTCTCATCCCCACTACAAACCGATGCTTAAATTCATAGATCTATTCTCTATGTATGTGATTTAATTTTAGATATGAATACAAATATATTTATTGTTTTTATAATTTTTTATTATTTTGTGCCTTCAAGTACAAACAATAACTAGCATATAGATATGAGAGAAAGAAAAAATTTTAATGTTAGTCAAACTTCTAAAATTTAAAACTTGTTAGTTTTTAAATTTGTTTTAATTAAACATAACTATTGAAGGTATTTTGGACAATGAAGATCAAAATGGACTTAATATTAAACAAGTTTCTTTGATGAATTTATCACCATATAAGTCCAAAAAAGAAGACCGGCCTTCAAATTTTCCTAATTTTTTTGCCCAATGGTATAACTTAATTTAACTATTTGGCATTTTAGAACGGTGATTAGTTATCATGAATTTCCTATGTGTCGAGCTATGAATTCTCTCCTCTGATTTTGCATTTACTTTTCACTATAGCCACATGATATTAAATTTTCTTTATATCTACTTCAAATAGAAGATAGTGGGAGTGGCTCCAATTGTTTTATGCATCCATGTAGGGAGAGAAAAAGATAGGGGAGAGAGAGAAAGAGAGACTAAGGTCATGTTTGGTTTGTGATCTGAAAACAGTTTTTTGTTCTCAAAATTTCAAAAACACCCAAAACCAACATTTTAAAGAAATGACATTCATCCTCCAAGTTCACCTTTGTGGAATTTCCTCTGCAGCCTAGCAGCAGCCAGTGCACTTACTAAAAGAATCCTATTGTAGACATTGTCGACGAGCCTGAAGTATGTATACCTCCAAGACCTTTTGAAATGCAAGGTACAACAAACCCCCACGAAGCCAACTGAGAAACCAGGTCCAATACCAGCATAGAACCAAAAAAAGTCAAACCCCTCTCCACCTTCATCCTCAATATGTTCATAACTGACTGATTGCTTACCATCGGAGCAACTCTTTAAGAGTGGGGCTCCACAAAGTTCATCGATGCCTCTATATATGGATTGATCATCCAAGGTCTGGAGTTGATGTCCCGTTGGTATTTGCCCTGATAAGTTATTGAATAACAGATTTAAGTGGTTTAGATAGTTTAAATCCGACAAACCTGGAGGAATTGGACCGGAAAGCTCATTTCTAGATAGATCAACTGATTCCAATTGCTTCAAACTGCCAATTTTCTTAGGAATCCTTCCTATTAGATGATTTCCAGCCAAATTCAAATTCCGTAACCCCCACAGATGCATTAACTCTTCTGGAATCTCTCCACCCATGTCATTGTTGGAAAGGTCTATTGACGTAAGAAATGGGGTTGTTGTGGTAAATTGAAGTTCGGTTCCCTTCATAGAATCTAAAACATTATGCTCGCGTATATCTTCCGTTAGTAACCATTGTCTGGTCATATTCATCAGCATTGTGATCCACAACCATGGCAGTGAAATTGGAAAAACAGTGAGGAATATTACCAGTTATACTGTTATGTGCCAAGTTTAACAGGTGAAGTGCAGAGAGCCAACAGAGTTGCAGAGGAATATCACCATAGAACTCATTTGACTGAAGACTAAGAAACTCCAAATTATGTAGATTTTCTCCGATCCATGGAGGGATAACACCACTGAATGCGTTTTTTCCTAGATCAAGGATCCTTAGTTCAGTCAGCTGATGCAAAGACGATGGAAGCTTCCCAGAAAACCTGTTGTTGTGCAAGTGCAAGGACGTTAGCCAATTTAGAGAACCTAAAGACCTTGGAATATCGCCATACAAGTTGTTGTCGGTCAGGTCTAGATTTTCCAAATGCTGTAAATCTCCTAGGCACCAAGGGAGTCTTCCTGATATTTGATTTCTTGAGAGATCAAGAATTATCATCGTCTGTATCTCGCATAAAAACATTGGAATTTCTCCAGTCAAACTGTTTTTTTGAAAGAATGAGATATTCCAATGTTAGAGTCGTAGGATCTTGAATCAGAGGAATATGTCCTGAAAGTGAGTTATCGGAGAGATCTAAAAGAGCAACATCTGAAGGAATCATTACTAATGGTCCCTCGAATTTGTTGGACTTCAATATTAACTCCCTAGTTAATACACCACCGGATTCCACAAAATTTGGCAGTTTTCCACTAATTTTGTTGCTGGATAGATCCAAGTGGAGGATACGAGAATATAAATTCTCAAACCAATCTGGTATGGTAGCTGAGATGCTTGCATTAGAAATGCTCAAAGTCTCGACTTGTGTCTGTGTTTGAAGCCATTGAGGAAATTGAGGTCCCATTTTGCAGGAAGCCAGTTTAATGACTCGGAGTTGGAAAGGAGGAATCCATTGGGAGCTCACGTTTAAAACTAGGAAGTTTGTGGACATGGACAATTCATTCAACCTGGTGAGTTTAGAAAAGTGAAATTCAGATACCGTTCCCACCAAATAATTGTTAGAGATATCTAGCTTTTGTAGCTCTGAAAGTTGTCCAAGGCTCGAGGGAGTGCTCCCATTTAACTGATTATTGCTAACATCTAACTCTGTCAAATGTGTTAGTGTTCCAAGTGACACTGGGATTGGACCACTAAAAGAGTTGGAAGAAAGAATGAGATGCTCTAAATTATGGAGGCAACCAAACGGGCTTACTTCAAAACTTGGAATCTCTCCGGTGAACCTATTTAGAGACAAATCTAATGCACGTAACCTGCAGAAATTCTTCATGGTGGTTGGGAGATTGCCATGAAAATCATTCAAAGAAAGGTCCAAATGAACAAGACTGCACAAGTTACGGAGGGAATCAGTTATTGAAGTATTAAAGAAGTTATAAGAAAGATCAAGGAGTGTGAGAGAATTCAGTCTTCCAAGAGAACGAGGAATACCCCCACAAATATAATTATTTTGGAGTTGGAGATGCAAAAGGCCAGTAGTGTTGGACAACCAGAGAGGGATGATGTCAATAATGAAGTTGGATTGTAGATTAAGAGAAGCAAGGGAGGTGAAATTAACATGCGAAAGACTAGGGATGGAACCAACTCCGCAATCGACAAAGTTCAATACTAACAGAGAAGAAAGCTTGTTAATTGCTTTTAACCAATGTGTAACCTCCCCAAGGATGACCCCAGACAGGTCTAAGTATTCCAAAGAGGAAAGTTTAGATACTCACTTATAGTATATTTCAACGTGATGTAATTTTGTGACGACAAGTAAATGAAAAAAACAATCTTAGAATTATTGGGATCTGAGCTACTAGGTTCGAGGGAGTAATACTGAGAATTGTTGGGGAGTTGGGGGAATAACACAGTAGAAATATAGTGGTTCACCGGCTCGAGAGCTCGATTAATTCACTTTTCAATGGAGATTCTTGCTCCTTCCTTCACTATTTACTATATCAAAAAGGGTTACAGAATGTACGAAGTGATACTAGGGATCTTGCCCCTCTGTTGGGGGCGTTACATAGTATTTATAGAGGTATCCCTTAATCTATGGGATCCAATCCGTGATCCTTGCCATCTATCCGAGGAATTCTCCTTAATCTTAGGAGAGTATCTTGGTTGGTTGAGAATTTTGTGCCTTGAGTGTTATTTCAAACCGTCTTTCGAGTTCTTTGTATTATCTAGTTGCTTCCTCCCTACTTCAGCTTATTATCTCGCTTTGAGGGGAGCTCTAGTTCTGATTTTCGGAGCTTTGCATAGCTTTGACCTTCTGGGCTCAGCTTACTTGATCTCCGTTCTTGAGCTCCAGCTCAAGAATCATTCTAAGTATCATCAGTTGCCCCCCAGCTCTTGGCCGAGCTGGCTCGGGCAAGGGCTGAACTTAGGATGTAACAGTGATGGCTTCCTAATCCGTTTACGCGGGAATATATATATTTATTATTATTATTTTATTTTATTTTAAAGCGGTTGTCAGTAATCATTTCCTTCCTCGTTCCTTGCGCCCGTTGCCCATTTCGAGGCCCAAGGTACCGTTAGCTCTAAATACCCCTGGATCACCGATTTGCTCCTCACTCTACAGATCCTTTTCGACTTCCTTATCTTTTCACGACTTCATCTTCCCCATTCTGCCGCTGATTTTAGGATTTTCTCTGAGGGACGGTTACCCCAGTTTTGACTTGGAGGCTTAGCGTGATTTGGTTTTGAATCCCCTCCTCAAACTTTAATCCGTCACCAATTCGTAGTTAGGTATGTTTTTTCTTTCTTTCCCAACTCCTTGCCTTGGATCCCTCAAGTCTGAGGTGGTTTTGGCATTTTTGGGCCTTTCAATTATGCTACGCTAGGAGCCGAAGTATTCCCCTGTCTCGTCTTCCACTCTTCTTGGACCCTTACTCCACAGTTAGGATTTTCACCATTAGTTTTCGGTGTCTTGCTCCTTGGGCTCTCAAAGAGTGTTTCTCCGAGGTCCCCCCTCTTTATAGGTCTTTTAAGCTTCCTTATTCTTGTCCAGCTATATCTGTTTCCTCTAAAGCTACGGGATTGTCTGTTTCGCTAATGAAAGATGGGTTTGTTGAGAAAGATTCCGACCTGGGGGATGTGGGGTTAGAGATAGATGATTTTCCCGGAGTGGACTCTGTCAATGTTGAGGGAGGCACTGAGGAGCCTCCTCCTGCCCTGAAATCTCCCAGCAAAGGCAAAACCAAAGTAAGTGGTGTGGGAATTTCAGGCAGTGTTATGGGTGGTGTTGCTGCCCCCAGGGCCTCTGAGCTCGTGGGGTGTAGTGACATCGTTCCTTCTTACATGAAGGTGCTGGCTGCCCGCTTTGGATTTCCTCAAAGCGTCCAGTTCTGGAGTCCGGACATGTTTACCTTATACGATTCCTCTATCCCTAAAAAGGTATGCTTCTTCCTGGCTGCTTTTGAGAACAGCCTCCGCTTTCCTCTGCATCATTTTATAAAAAATGTTTTGTAACATTTCAATGTCTGTCCTGTCCAGTTTTCTCCTAACTTTTGGGGGGGTGCTGGTTGGTCTTCTTGTCTTCTTTAAAAAATATGATCTGGGTGTCCCCACCATGTCTTTGCTCATAAATTCTTTAATGTCAAATATCTCTCCACTGATGGCTTTTTGTACATGTCCAAACGAGTGAAAACCAAGGTTCTTATCTCCGATCTCCCAAGCTCCCACAAGCGCTGGAAAAAAATATTCTTTTTCGTGTGGGGGAGGGAATAGGAGTTCAATCCTGCAGACGTGACGGACACTCTTCCCATCCCTTGGGGGTGGTCTGCCCCTGACAACTTGGGTGAGCTTCTTTTTATGCAAGTTGGAATAAGTTCTAGCTTCCTTAGGCTGACCTTGTTGGCTGGTTTCGTTTCTCAGGCATCTGGCCAGACCTTAATGCCGCAGACGAACAGGTCCTAAGAAACTTGGCGAACTGCAAATCGGAGAAGTATTCAGAGCTAATTCGACCTCAAGTCCTTGTGAGCCTTGGGTTTAGTCCTCCTGAAGTGAGGGTAGAAAATTCGTCCCCTCTTTCTGCCATTAGTGCTGAGGAATTGGCAAGTATTGTCCCTTTCACCTCTGCCTCTACCTTTTACCTCTTCTCCTTCTCCTCTTTTTTTCTCTCTTTTTTTTTTAACGGTTCTTTCTCGATTATTCAGGTTCTTCCTTAATGGAGCCTACTGCGAATGATCGCTCTAATAAATTATCTATGATGAAGAGGACTCAAGCTGGAAGCAAACGTAAGGTTAAGGTCAGCACAGGGGGTGATCCAACTGTCAAAGTCAAAGCTCCGAGACTGGAATTGTCCTCTCTAACTCAAATGGGGCTCCAATCCACTTTTGACTTTTCGGAGGTTGCAAGGAGCTCCTTTCTTCAAAAGACGGGATTGCCCTCCTCTGGTAAGGTCTCTGACCTAAGCTTGGTCTCCACCCTTCCCTCTACAGGTGAGGTCGAGAAACCTTTAGAGACGGATCTCTCCCCTCTTGCCTGGAGCCATCTCTTCTTGCCCAGCTGTAGGGCCTCCTAAAAAGGCTCTTGGGATACGTAAGCATGAAAAAGGGGGAAATGCAGAAGCAAGTTCGGGTTCTTTGATTGATAACGTGAAAAGAGCTGCAGAGGCCATTGCTTCCATTCTCCCGAATCTGATATCCAGTGAGCTTCCACCATGCCTCTTGGGAGCTCTATATCTACCAGTCTTTTCGTTTCTACCTCCGTAAGTTTTATGTTTTTGTGCATACATGTTTTGTTCATTTTGCTCCTTCTTATCTGACCTTTTCTCACTTTCAGATTGCCCTCCATGTCAGCGGACTGCTGAAGAGGATCCAAGCCATGGAAGGTTCAGTTAAAGCTTCCAAGGCTTTTGAACTCAAGATTGCCGAGCTGTCCTTTGAGAATAGTGACCTCAAGGCCCAGGTGTAAGACTTGCAGGAGCAGGTGGAGAAGCAGACCTCCTTAAATAGGAGTTTGGAAGAGGTGAGGGAGAAGATTGCACGTGAGGGAAAGAGCTGCAAATAGGAACTTAAGAAAACAAAAGAAGAGCTCAAGGGAACTTAAGTAGAAAACAGATGATTGGCTCAGAGCCAGTCGGGAGTCTCTCGAAGCTTCAAGTTCCTTCCAAACTATGAA